TATCCAACTCCTGATTTTGGGTCAGGTCACAATCTCGTAAGACTGAGCCCTGCTTCAAGTGTGGAGCCGGCTTGGGATTCTCTCTCTCCCTCTCCCTCAGCCCCTCCCCTGGTCATTCTTTCTCTCAAAAACAAAACAAACAAAACAAAACAAAACAAAACAAAAACACCACTGATGCATTCCTTGCTTTTCTCAAAAGGCATTCCTTATAGGCTTTCTTTTTCCTCCAAATTTTTCTCAAACTGGCATTTCCATTGCTTATTCTATTCCCAGCTTTTCTATTGTGTACCATAGACTGTGAGATCCTTGAGGGCCAGGATTGCAGTCTCTGTTCCCCGCACCCCACAAAGCTCCCAGGACAGGGCTTGGTGGCAATGTGGCCAGTCATGGGTCACCACTACCAGAAGCAAGTGCCTCTCCATCCACACAGTGGAGTATTTATTATTTAGCCATAAAAACAACGAAGTTCAGACTCCAGCTACAATGTGGGTAAACCCTGAAAACATGATGCTAAGTGAAAGAAGCCACACAGAAAAGGACAAGTAGGTGTCCATTTAGAAGAAATGCCCAGAAGAGGTAAATCCATACAGAGAGAAAGCAGGAAGCCAAGGGTGGAAGGGGTTGAAAATGGGTACAGGGTTTCTTCTTGGGGTGACGAAAATGTTCTGGAATTAGATAGTTGCACAGCTTTGTGACTATACTAAAACCGACTGAAGTTTAATGTTAAAAAGATGAATTCGTGGTATGTGAATTATACCTCAAATTCTTTTAAGTTTATACATCTTGAGAGACACAGAGCAAGCACACACATAAGCGGGAAAGGGGCAGCGAGAGAGAGGGAGAGAGAATCCCAAGCAGGTTCTGTGCTCTCAGCGCTGAACCCGACTCGGGGCTTGAACCCGTGGACCATGAGGTCATGACCTGAGCCGAAATCAAGAGTTGGATGTTTAACTGACTGATCTGCCCAGGCGCCCCTTTATCTCAATTTTTTTAAAAAAAGCAGAGGACAGAGGCAAAAGCTACATTGACTGAGACCAGTCTTCTCCGCAGCTACAAGTTTGAGGCAACCCCACCAGGGAACAGCAACTTTGGTGCTTGTGTAACTCTCCAAATTCAAAGTGCTTTTTAATGTTTATTTTTTTGAACGAGCGCAAGCGGGGTCAGGGGGAGGTGCGGACAGAGGACCCAAAGAGGGCTGTGTGCCAACAGGCTGACAGCAGAGAGCCCGATGCGGGGCTGGAACCCATAAACCGCAAGATCACGAACTGAGCCGACGTCTCAACCGACGGAGCCACCCAGGTGCCCCCAAATGCAAAGACTTTTAAGACATTTCCTTATCCTACTATTTTCCCAAAAATAAACTGATCGCCCAAATGGAGTTCAAATTTCAAAGACAAACTCTTCTTCCTTCCTGGCTGTGAGTCACCCCATGACGTCAGCCTCGCTGAGGGCTTTGGCTAGGGAGGGGGGAAGGGAAGAAAGGAAGGAAGGAAGCCTTAAGAGTGTCCGCAAGGAATCGATGCCCCATTTGCTCACCTCTCTACTGGATCTGTCTGCTTCCTCTAAAAGCTCTGTGTGCATATTCCCGACCTCAGAGGGGCAGGCCCGCTGGACAGCTCGCTGACAGAACGAGAACAAGATTACTGACTGGCCCTGTTCCTTGCTGGTGACTGGGCTCGGGCAGACTGGGACTATTTTTATTATTATTTCTAATGTTTGACTTGACTTCCAGAGATGGGCTCAACCACTTTAAAACATCAGGCGGGGGAGGGGGGGCAGGTGCCTGCGTGGCTCAGTCAGTTAAACGTCTGACTCTTGATTTCGACTCGGGTTGTGAGATCAAGCCCCCGCGTCGGGCTCTGCACTGAATGTGTGGAGGCTGCTTGGGATTTTCTCTCTCTCTCTCTCTCTCTCTCTCTCTCTCTCCCCCCTCTCTCTCTCTGCCCCTCCTTTTGCTCTTTTGCTCACTCTCTCTCCCTCAAAATAGATAAACTTAAAACACCAGGACGGAAATCAAACAAAACCGAATGTATCAAGATAAAAATTTCTGGCTCATTCCCCAGGTGGGACTATGCTAACAGCAATTTCCCCTCCCTTCTCCCGCCCCCCCCCCCCGTGGTTCTTTAAGCCTTGATGAATCATTCGCACTAAATAAAAGTCGATGAACACACAGCCCCTATCTTGCAGCTTTAGCCAGAACTACCATTTTCCTTCGAGGTTTGCAATTACAACCAGACGATACCCGTCTCCGGGAAGCCATCTATCAATTTATCACTATGTTTTTTGGCCCTGAGAATAAACCGAGCTTGCCACCTGAAAACAAACCCTCCTTCAATGTATCTGAATTGCAGGAATGCAAAACAAAACAAAACAAACCCTCTAAAGTCACTTCCAAACAACCTTCTGCGTATTTTCTTCACTCTCAAATGTCAACATTATTTCTGTACAAAGCCGTCTGGTTGGTGTGTTTGCCTTTGCTTTCACACACGCGTGTGCATGCATATGCGTGTGTGTGTGTGTGTGTGTGTGTGTGTGTGTGTGCGCGTAGTTCACTCAGACAACACATTGGGGAAAGCAAATGTACGGATCTAAGCTTTCTGAAAGCCTAATTACTCTAAGACGTTGGTTCTGAACTGGGGTCACTGTGCCCCCAAGGGGTAGTTGTTGAGGTCTCGGTTGCCACAATCAGGAGGGCGCGACGGGCATGGAGTGGGGACAGACATGCCACATCCCACGGTGTCTGAGTCGGCCCTCGGAACAAGGCATCCACCAGCCCCAAATGCCAACAGTGCTGAGGAGGCTGCTCTGGAGACAGACACACAGACGGGACGTGGGCTGAACAGAGGCGGCGGCCCACCCCGCTGGCCCCGGTGCCCGCTGACGGAACGCAAAGCAGTCCCCACGTCCCAGAGCATGCTCAGTTGCCCTTAATTTCTTTTTATTTTTTTTTCTTTTTGGAGGGAGGGAGGGATGGAGAGCACACGTGCGCATGCGTGGGGGACACACTGAAAGCATACTCAGCATGGAGCCCGACTCCCAAGTCAGGCTCTGTGTCACAACCTTGAGATCATGACCTGAGCCAAAACCAAGTCACATGCTCAACCAACTGAGCCACCCAGGCACCCTTCAGCCAACATTCTTAAACATTCTCTCTTAACTTCTCTCTTGCTATTTTTTTACAATACATATGTGTCTTGGGGGCACCTGGGTTGCTCAATCGGTTGGGCATCCGACTTCGGCTTAGGCCACGATCTCAGTTTGTGGGTTCGGGCCCCGCATCAGGCTCTGTGCGGATAGTGCGGACCCTACTTGGGATTCTCTGCCTCTCCCCGACTTGTGTGCACGCTCGCTCGCTCTCTCAAAATAAACTTCAAAAAACATAAAATGAAATAAAATATGTATTTGTTATTTTAAAGAGAGAGAGAGCATGATCCAGGGAGAGAGGCTGAGGGACAGAGAGAAAATCTTAGGTAGGCTCTACGCTCAGTGCCTCTACACTCATGGGGCTCGGTCCTATGACCCCCGGATCATGACCTGAGTTGAAATCAACAATCAGACACTCAACCAACTGAGCCACCCCAGGCATCTCTCTCTCGCTCGTTTTTAGACAACCCATGGGCAACCATAATATTATACCTACCAAAAACCTAAAGGATCAATCGGCTTGTACGTTACAAACCATCAGGCGGGTTACAACTTTGGGGATGTCAGAGTGGGGATTTTCAAACCTCTCCTCACCAACATTCTGGCTAAACAAAACTTTATTAGGAACCTCAACAGGGAGGAGAGTAGTCTATTAGCAAGAAGTTATTTCATAAGTTACAGTCTGGATTGTAAAAAAAAAAAAAAAAACCCAGATATAATCAATTAGATCCATGAGGCCACTTTAGTCAACACAAAAAACTCTGAGACGAAAAACTGACATCTCCAAGACAGTCTCCATCACACTCGAACATCTAACTTTTTCTATTTTTGATCTGATAAATAAATAGCACCGTAACCTGGAAATTCAGTTCCACACAGCGACGGAGCTGAAAACGTGATGGTTTCAGGTAGCACTTCTTCCCATGTGAGGCCAGTTTTCACTGAAACCAAGAGGGCGGGCAAATGTTTCTCTGAGCTAACCCAGGAGGACAGATTAATGGGCTGTGGGCCTGGATGGGTTAGTATTTGGTTACCAATGCGTTTCAGTATGCGCAGTTCTCCCCACAGGATTTCATGCCAATTCTGGAAGTGAATCATTTCCTAGATGCCTAAACGTCCACACTAGGATTCCACAGAACGCAGTCTGATGACCACAGAGAGGTCTGCAGACCCCAGCACTCAAGTCTTTCAGTGAAAAGGACAGATGGGAAGAGCCAGCGCTGGCAGACTGGGTCTTCATCTGAAACGTCCCACGTGAGCTGGGCACACCGAACCGTACCTGGAGCCACAGAGGTCAGGTCACACCATTCACGGCCTTACAGCACAGCAGGCGTATGTGATGGGTCTGGAGTGACTATCTCACACTGATAAAGCCATCCAGCCAAGCGGGGGGAACCGCTTATAATTACATAAGTCTTGGGGTGCCTGGGAGGCTCAGTTAAGCGTCCGACTCAGGCTCAGGTCATGATCTTGCAGTTTGTGGGTTCAAGCCCCACGTCAGGCTCTGTGCTGACAGCTCAGAGCCTGGAGCCTGGCTCCGATTCTTTGTCTCCCTTTCTCTCTCTCTGTCCCTCCCCTGCTCACGCTCTGTCTCTCTCTCTCAAAAATAAACATTTTAAAAAATTACACAGGTCTGCAGTGCTTAAGAAGTGCCATTAAAATATTAAAAAGACAAGTGGGTAACAGAATACAAGAGGAGCATCATTGCTGCTATTGTAACTTTCCCCTCACACCCTCGAGGGTATTACAGGTGTCACGGACACCTCTCCCACAACACATCACTTCCCGGTTTGATAAAGGACTTCCGGGTGGCCCCGGGGCTCCGCAATTTACCTGCATTGGCAGACAAGGCTCACCTTCAGACAACAGGCTCAGGGCCTCGTCGGACACGTGCCCGCCGAGTCGCAGCACCTTCCTGGGAGTGAGGCTCTCACCGGGTGCGCTGGAGCCATCTGGGGACAGGTAGGGCTGCTCCGCGGCAGAGGTTGCCATGGATTCCCACTGAATCTCCTTCCTGGGAGACTGAAACTCCAGGCTGCATCCTGTCCAGCCGTAGAAGGCCAAAGACAAGAGAAATCCCTGGGCTGGGTTCAGTATCGCCTAGGAGGAAGGACAAAAAGACACGAGTTGGCCAGTCTGTGTACTGGGAATTTGAGCATTAACTCCACTCGGATGCTCACTCGGCTGCCTCACTTGGAAGTGACCCGGTTGGCTGCTTCAGGGCAAGACCAAGATTGGCTTTAGGTGCTGTACCTTCAGGAGGAGGCGGGGAGGGGAGAGCTGGAGGGGGTGGGGGGAGGGGATGCATGCGACACAGGGCAATCGAACCGATCCCATTTTCACCCCTGCCAGGCAGCTAGGCTCTCCTACACAGAGATGCTCTCCATCTTGTGCTTCTGAGTCAGAATGTGATTTAACAAAGGTACCTGAGGCTAAAAACGAGTCTAGGGGACGTTCCTCTATTTCCGTGTGCTAAGTACCCATGAAGTAAACCAAAGGAACCAAGAGAAACTCCAAACCAAAGCAAAGAGGTGGAGGCAGTGAATGCTCGTCTTATTATAAAGTTCTCATGGGCCAGATTCTCCCCAGTTCGGGAGCAGCAGAAATATCAATTCCGTACAAGACAACGTCTACCTCTCCGCTAACAGTTTTGTTTTTTCATTACAAATGCAACACAGCGAAAACACTGGGAGGAATCTACTCATGGTATTTCCACCTTATTTCCACTTTGTGTATTTTTTTAATGTTTTTATTTATGTTTGAGACAGAGACAGAGCATGAACAGGGGAGGAGCAGAGAGAGAGGGAGACACGGAATCCGAAGCAGGCTCCAGGCTCTGAGCTGTCAGCACAGAGTCTGTCAGCAGACATCAGGGACGACAACTCACGGACATGAGACGACCTGAGCAGTGAAGTCGGACGCCCGACCGACTGAGCCACCCAGGCACCTCGATTTTATGTATTTTTTTAATGTTTGTTTATTTTTGAGAGAAACAGAGCAAGTTGGGGAGGGGCAGAGAGAGAGGTGGACAGAGGATCTGAAGCAGGCCCCACGCTGACAGCAGACAGCCGGATGTGGGACTCGAACTCATGAACCATTGAGACCATGACCTGAGCCAAAGTCGGACGTTCAACTGACTGAGCCACCCAGCTGCTTCACCGTTCTGTGTATTTCTATACGATATTTTTTTCACACGTGTTATTATGTAGTTGTAACTAGTGTAATTTTTATATCCTGCGTTTTTCACTTAAAACTACAGATTTCAGGGGCACCCAGGTGGCTCAGCCCATTGAGCGTCCAAACTCAGCTCAGGTCATGATCTCGAAGTTTGTGAGTTCAAGTCCTGAGTCGGATTATGCAGACAGCTCAGAGCCTGGAGCCTGCTTCAGATTCTGTATCTCCCTCTTCCTCTGCCCCTCCCCTGCTAGCACTCTATCTCTACCTCTCTCAAAAATAAAACATTTAGGGGTGCCTGGGTGGCTCAGTCGGTTGGGCGTCCGACTTCGGCTCAGGTCACGATCTCACAGCCCGTGAGTTCGAGCCCCGCGTCCGGCTCTGTGCTGACGGCTCAGAGCCTGGAGCCTGCTTCCGATTCTGTGTCTCCCTCTCTCTCTGACCCTCCCCCGTTCATGCTCTGTCTCTCTCTGTCTCAAAAATGAATAAACATTAAAAAAAAATAAAAAATAAAAAATAAACATTTAAAGAATTTTTTTAAATATATTTTCAAAATACTAGAGATTTCATAATTGTCACATTTAACATCTACATAACACTCCACCAGGATGAAAAATTGTAATTTACTTAGCCATTTCCTTGTATTTGTTTCATTTGGGTTGCCTATAACACAATATGGATGATGGGATCGCTTCTTGGCCTTTTGGCTAAGATCAAGTGTGGTATCTGTTCGTATCAGTTTAATAATCGTGGATGATGTTACAAGGAACACCTTCATCCCTATGGCTTTTTCATAGTCTGAAATATTTCTTCAAGTGAAATTCTCTGATATTTTGGGTCTGCTTGAAAGGTCTGAAAAATTGGGCCAAACTGATTTACCAGAGATGTCCCCATTTAATAACGGTCCCAACAATGAATGAGACTAGCTAGCTGGTACATCAAAGCCAGATACAGGTACATACCGTTACATATTTAACCAACAACACATCATACTTTGGAGTGGTTTTTTTTTCTCTCTGAACTTTACTTTTCAAGAAAAAAAATTTTAAATCAAGGTTGACCTACCATTATAAACCACGTGGTCTTGGCCGCATTTCTCACAGGTCTCAAAAAGCTCCCGTTGATATCTGGTTGCATTTCAAGATAGAATAAAAGGCTTTCGTTGATGATGTTCGGCAACCAGCTGTCAGAAAGAAAAGAACCCAGGGTAAAGAGAACATGTAACCCAACTCATCTTTAAATGCCGGCGGTCAGGAAACCTGTCCTCCGAGACCACCAAGTCCTGGAGGGGAATCCACTTGCGCACATGGAGGAACCAGCACATCCAGGATTTAATTTAAGAGACCTAACTCTTTCTGTAAAGCAGAGATCAGAGACTTCTTCCAAGGGTAACATGCAACACCACATCGGGTGTAAGGCTCTAACGTTATAGCTAATAACTCAAAATTCAATTTTCACTTGAAGAGTAATGTAACGTTTTGAGGGAGAGCTGCACAAATCTTGCTATTTCACGTGTGAACTGTTTGATGTTATTGTTGGTAGGCCAACAACATTTAAAATGAGGAGCTGTTGGGGCGCCTGGGTGGCTCAGTCAGTTGAGCACCGGCTTCAGCTCAGGTCACGATCTCACGGTCCGTGAGTTCGAGCCCCGCGTCGGGCTCTGTGCTGACAGCTCAGAGCCTGGAGCCTGTTTCAGATTCTGTGTCTCCCTCTCTCTGACCCTCCCCCATTCATGCTCTGTCTCTCTCTGTCTCAAAAATAAATAAATGTTAAAAAAAATTAAAAATAAAATAAAATGAGGAGCTGAGTGTATTTTGAGAGGGAGATCATTTCCATCTCGCCTAGGACAACGTCCAAACAAACCTCCTCCTATCACATCAATTATTAACACCACGAAGGCACGCCCTGTTTTGCAAAGTATTGATTCACCCCAGCAAAAGGTTTTCTGGTTCCCATCTGTTTTGCATGGGTTACAGATCTATTTTCAAAGCATGCACCTGAACCTGGGCAGAATGCCAACTGTGGGGCCAACTGAGGTTTAGAGAAAAATGGCTCTCTCTATAGGTCTTGATGGAACCATGAATCATCCCACCAAAAGATGTGCCCTTGTCCTATATCTTCGCAGATCCAGGAATCCTGGGGTCAAGAATGATACAAACAGGTACATTTTAGAAGTGTGGTCCAGCGTTTTATTTCAGAGTTAGCCCTGGCAGTGGGCCGAAACACCAGATGCACGTTCACGGTATCTGGAAACTAAACTCAGGAGTTGTTTGTTCTGAGGGCTTTATATATAATCTGAGGAGAGGTGAGTATCTTTCCAGGAGTTCACAGATTGTGGGCCTGCCTTCCTGTCTCGCGTGTATTTCCTCAAAGGGCACCTAGTGCAGTTTCAAAGATCTCCTTTCCAAAGACTCTCTGCTTTGCAACTTTCGGGTCACACTTAGAAAAGCAAAATGACAAGTTGTTTACGTATCCCTTCCCAGCGGCAATTAAAAAATAAAAAATAGAAGAAAGGTTACCAAATAATTAAAACCAGCATTATTTTGAAAAATCGGATCTTGATCACGGCTCCCATCCGTCTCTCGTTCTCTGTGTAAATGCCTTTTCTTCCTTTTAGTAAAGAGGCCACTGTGAAAAACAGAGGGGAACTGCATGTCACAGTCATTATTTGCATCTCCTGAGTGACAGGGAAGAGAGTCAACATGGACGTAAGCCCGAAAGCAAAGGCAGAAGAGCAGAAGACAGCCCAAGATACGGCCGTTCCTTCCCCCACACTCCAAGCTGGGGTCCTCGCAGACTCGAAGGGACACGGGGTCTTTAAAACGTTCACCTCCCAAGAACTGTAGACTTCCAGAAGAGTTGCAAAGACAGTACAGAGACTTTCTGCATACCTGTACCCAGACTCGCTCAACATTAACATCTTACACACTGAGGGTCACATTCGTCACCGGGGAGAAATTAGCAATGGTCTGTTACTATTAATTAAGCTCCAAATTTTATTTGGATTTTACCGATTCGAAAACTGTATTTTTAGGGGTACCTGGGTGGCTCAGGTCACGATCTCACAGTATGTGAGTTTGAGCACCATGTCAGGGTTTCTGCTGTCAGCATGGAGGCCGCTTCAAATTCTGTCTCTCTCTTGCCTCTCTCTCTCAAAAATAAACATAAAAAAAAATCTATATATTTAGGGGCATCTGGGTGTCTCAGTTGGTTAAGCGTCCAACTTTGGCTCAGTTCATGATCTCACAGATCATGAGTTCGAGTCCCCTATGTGGCTCTGTCAGCTTCAAATCCTCTTTCTCCCTCTCTCTCTGCCCTTCCCCTGCCTTCTCTCTCTCAAACATTAAAAAACAAAACTATATTTTTAAAGGTTTATATTTTCTATTACAAAAATAATGCACACTGTTTTGAAACATTGAGAGATTAAAAATTTCTCATTATAGACAAGTTGGAAAATACTTTACTTTTTAATGTTTATTTATTTTTGAGAGAGTCAGAGTGAGAGCAGGGGAGGGGTAGAAAGAGGGAGACACAGGATCCGAAGCAGACTCCCAGCTGTCAGGCAGAGCCCGACGTGGGGCTCAAACTCACAAACCGCAAGATCATGACCTGAGCCGAAGTCAGATGCGTAACCAACTGAGCCACCCAGGCGGTGCCTCAACAAGTTGGAAAACATTAAAAAAGGTTAGAGGAAAATCAATGAGCTATTGTCTATCCTGAGACAAGCACTGTTAGCATCTTACTGTCGTTCTTATCAGTCCTTTACCTAGACATGATTTTTGTTTGATATAATTGACTCAGTACTTTTATGCAAATCTGTATAAAAAGTTGCTGTACTTAACATGCTGTTTTTATTTTAATTTTTTTTTTTTATTTTAGAGAGAGGGAGAGAGTGCACAAGCAGGGGAGGGGGCAGAAGAAGAGAGAGAATCTTAAGCAGGCTCCACACTCAGCAGAGAGCACTCAATCCCATGACACTGGCATCATGAGTGGAACCAAAATCAAGAGTTAGATACTCAACCAACTGAACCACCCAGACGCCCCAATACACTGTTTTTAAACGCAACGTGGAGGGAAAAAACTGATCCAAAGAGCCACATGATTTCCTACTCTTAGTTGGCAGAGCACTTGAAATGTTTTGAAGTTCTACAATCAACCGACCTTTCCATTAAGGGGTGCTTCTTTTTATTTATTTTTTCCTTTAATTTTTTTAAATGTTTATTTTTGAGAGAAAAAGAGACAGAGCATGAGCAGAGCAGGGCAGAGGCAGAGAGGGAGGGAGACACAGAATCGGAAGCAGGCTCCAGGCTCTGAGCTGTCAGCACAGAGCCCGACACGGGGCTCAAACCCACGAACCGTGAGATCATGAGCTGAGCCGAAGTCGGACGCTTCACCGACTGAGCCACCCAGGTGCCCCAAGGTGCACTTGTTCATTCTCATTCTGCACAGGAGAGATCCATGCAGCTTGAGCAGGATGGAGGTTTGCCCCAGGTCACGCCTCCGTGAGGATGGGGTGGAACCAGAATGCCAAGTCCCCAGCCTCAGCTCAGAGTTCTTTCCAGGGCATCCTGCTGGCTCATAACATCCTTCTTACTCAGTTCTTACTATTTGCACCCGACTCCTTTCCTGCACTCTACTTCCTGTTTCCTGCCCAACTGAGTAAAGACACAAGGCCAAGCGCCTCACGGGAGTAACCAGGCTCACTCTTCAGGCCACACCCCATCCCTTCCCCCCCGGCTCCCCACTCCTCTCCTTACGCTCCTATCTGACCTCCACAGTTTTCCACGGGCACTCCTGGGGCCTCCAAGGCACCCCAAGGGCACACCCAGGATGAGCCTAGACGGAAGTGAAAAGTCCACTGGCCCTGGCCTTGAGCTATTAAACATTGGCAAAGAACTTGTGTAGCCCATGACCAGATAGGCTTGCTCGCTTTCCCTTATTAAACCTGCTCAGTTTCTCCAAGTGTATTGTACTTACGTCTCTAGAGGATGACAAATGAGGTCTAGCATCCTAGATGATTCGAGGAGCACAACGCATGCCATTATCTGAGCCCACTGCATGGGGCCATAGCCCTGGTCACGCACCCAGACAGCTTCCCTGCTGCTCACCTGCGGTCACGGTCTTCCAGAATAGGATGGGGTTGGCCCCCAGGACGAGCAGCAGCGGCAAGTATGTGGTGACATAGTGCGGGATGGCGAGTTCCGGATCCCGTTCACACCTGAGGGAGGAGGAGGAGGACGAAGCCATTCTTGAAAACAAGGCTTTGCCTAAAATATACACACTTACCTGGAAGGTGAGATCAGAGGGTGAGAGAGAAAAGGCAAATGCGTAAATCTACTTCTGACTCTGCCAGAAAGAAATGTGACTCACACCTTACATCTGCAAAGGAGCAATCAATCAATCACTGAAGAACAGGAGAGACCAGTCATGTTTCTATTTGTCCTGTAAATGTGAGGCCCTCTAGGGCATTCCACAGGGGAGAGATTTTAAAGGTCACTGCTAACAAAAGGAAAGATAGGAAAGGACACTCGAAAAGGGGAAAGGGGAGTCCCCCCACTGGGTCTCTTCAAGGAGAAAAAGACACAAATGGGAATGCAAACTGGTGCAGCCACTGTGGAAAACACTATGGAGGTTCCTCAAAAAATTAAAAACCGAGCTACCCTACGACCCACAAATTGCACTACTAGGAATTTATCCAAAGGATACATAAGTGCTGATTCGAAGGGGCACGTGCACCCCAATGTTTATAGTGCTGCTATCCACAATACCCAAATGATGTAAAGAGCCCAAATGTCCATCAACCGTCGAATGGGTAAAGAAGATGTGATATACATACAATGGAATACTACTCGGCAATGAAAAAGAATGAAATCTCGCCTTTTGCGGCAAAGTGCGTGGAACTAGAGTGTATTATGCTAAGCAAAATAAGTCAGAAAAAGATATCACATGTTTTCACTCGTATGTGGAATCTGAGAAACTCAACAGATGAACATTGAGAACGGAAGGAAAAATAAGGTAACAGAGAGGGAGGCAAACCATAAGGCTCTTAAATACAGAGAACAAATGGAGGGTTGATGGGGGTGCGGAAAATGGGTGATGGGCATTAAGGAGGGCACTTGTTAGGATGAGCACTGGGTGTGATATGTTAAGTGATAAGTCAATAAAAAAAAAAAGGCCAGTCCTGTGAATAAGATCCAGTCTCTCCCCTTTAGCGCCTCAAAGTACCCAGCCCTCATATTCCAAGGGAAATGTGTTGCCATGGTTGTGTAGAACAATCAGAGCAGAGGTGCTTTTCAGGGGAAGGACCAGAACTTCTACTGAAGGATCATGGGAATCGTCAGTCAGCAGGTGGGGTAGCAGAGTGCCACACAGGCACGGCTTACCCACGTGGGAGCTAGGAGCGAAGAAACACATAACGTCAGAGAGCAACGGGGAAGAGAGAATCAAAGGCAAAGGGGAGAGAGGACTGCTCAGGCCCAACCCAGGTAGGAGGTGGAAAAGCAGATGAGGGAGCAGCCTCTGTGGCCACAGAAGGCAGAACGATAAAAATGCACACACGCACTCTTGTTCTAACATGTCTGGAGTGGTCCAGCCCAGAAGGGGAAAATGACTGAATGCAAAACAACTTGGGTGGGAAAAACGCACGGCCACCTTTTCTCGCCATGAGAAGGAACACAACACCATCTCACAAGGCTACCTTCCTTTTAATGGAAGTTTTCATTTTCAGCTGTGCAGGTTCAAATGTGGTCTGGAAAGGCTTGAGGGGACAAAGAGAATCAAGCAGCAGAAAAGCCATGATTTGGGGCGCCTGGGTGGCTCACTCGGTTGAGCATCTGACTTCAGCTCAGGTTATGATCTCACTGTTGTGGGTTCCAGCCCCGCGTCAGGCTCTGTGCTGGCAGCTCAGAGCCTGGAGCCTGCTTTGGATCCTGTGTCTCCCTCTCTCTGCCCTGTCATGCTCTGCCTCTCAAAAAATAAAATAAACTGCTAAAGAAAAAAAAAAAAAGGAAAAAAAGAAAAGCCATGACTCTGACCAAAAGACAAAAGTAAGCGATGATTGAATGAGTGGGGATAGCAGTTTGCACAGGCCCGGGAGCAGCCTCCTAAGGACCAAGGGGGCACCTGGGAGTGAGCCCCGCAGCGATGGCTCCCTCATGCTCAGGTACAACCTTCCCAGGAGGCTCCAGGAGCCCACGGGTGAAGCGGAGTGATTAAAGCTCCGTTTCCACTATTAACCATTAAGCGCACCCCACTATAACAGCCACAGACACCGTACTTGTCCTCGTAAAGTTCCTCAGAGCAGCTGTATGGATGCATCTACACAGACTTTGGGAGTATCCGCCATCGAGAAGGCAACACCAATTTGGAGACATCCGAGTAGCTACAAGAAGTCAAAAAAGGGGCAGAAATGGTCCAACCACGAGTCAGCAAACGTTTTCCGTAAGGGAACTTTTACCGTATTTCATGCTCCATGGGCCACCCATTCTCTGTGAAAACTACTCTGACACTGCAGTGTGAAAGCAGCCATAAACCATGCATAAACAAAGGGCGTGACTGTGTTCCAATAAAACTTTATTTATAAAAACAAGCAGAGGACCAGATTTGTCCTCAGGCTGGGCTGTGATCCTTGTCTACGCTGCCCTAAGATCCCAGACAGAGACCATGTCCCCACCTGTTGCAGCTTTCCATTGGAAGCTGGAGCACACCTCCTTGGAGGGACCGTGAGCCCTTACAGAGGACTGACTGCACTGAGGAGATTTTTGAGGATGTTGAAGAAATACCTAAGACAATTTCAGATTATCTGTTTCCCTGGATCTGTGTTCAGGATAGCGGGAATACAGCTGGAAGAGAAGCGGCAAAGTGAAGCAAGCTGACGCTTAGATCCAGCTCTTCTAAGAGCAATCTTTGGGTTTCTCCAAGCCATTTCGAATTCACCCTTAGGATGTTAAACTCCCCTGCTCATCCAGATGAAGCTGGCCTGAAGCGTAACAACTAAAGGGTGTGCATGAGGAAGCCCCATCGATACGGAGAGGAACACACCTAACGCTGGGTGCACACCCTGACATGAGGACGCACCTCAAGCTGGGTGCACATACTTGCATCCACAGGCACCCACAGAAATGTGAGGGGCTGAGGCGGGGAAACGAACTCCAGGGTACAAGTACCGTAGCGAGCTCCCCAGGGCGGGTCTGGGCAGGTCCGTGAACAATGGGCTGACCTGCAAGGTGCCCACTCCGCGTCAGGGCCTGTGTATTTGTCGCCAGAGAACAATGAGTCAGGGGGCAGGGAGTCCCTGCTTACCTGGACACGGACGGGTAGTAGAGCATGACCACTCCCTCCACGCACAGCAGGACGGCCAGGCCCCAGGCCATGATGTGGTAAAGCAGGATGGTGCTAGGACAGAAGCAGAATCAGGGGGCCTGGCCTGAGACGAGCTACAGAGGTGCCCAGCCACACAAAGTACCAGACCAACTCCCGGCCCCCCCACCATCAGGAAAAGTTACACTGAGCAAACCCTTGGTAAAGACCTGCCCCATTCTACCTCAGAGTTTTCCTTTTGTAATTGAGATGAAATTCACGGAACATAAAAGTAACCACGTTCAAGCGGAGGGGCTCTGTCGCCTTGGGCAACTTCACATTATGCAACGGCCTCCTCTCCCCTGTTCTGAAACAGCTACGGCCCCAGAAGGACGTGCCCGCAGGCAGTCCCCGTTCCTCCCGCCCCCAGCCCCAGCAATTGTCCCCGTTCCTCCCGCCCCCAGCCCCAGCAACTGTCCCTGTTCCTGCCCCCAGTCCCAGCAACCACCCGCCTCCTGTGTGTGTCTTTGGCTTCTCCCACTCTGCACAATCCGTGTAAATGGTGGCACACAACACGTGGCCCTCTGTGTCTGGCTTCTTTCACTTAACAGGAGTCTTTCAAGCTTGACAAGAACAAGGCACTTGAACCTGATCAGTCCTCCTAAGTACCCAGCTCACCCAATAAGCAAGGAGCTCCTATCCCCACACATTCCCAAAGGTGCATCTGTACCTAGAATTCAGGGGTCTTAGTGCAAACCAAGGTCTCTGAAGAAATGTGGGTTCGTTCCATGTTCCGGGAGAGCGGGGAGCTCTCCTTTCTCGCCTCCCACCCCCACACCCCACCATTCCCTGCATGCTTAACATTCCTGGACCATCTCTACCCTCTGTCTTTGTCCTCCCACACGCCCCTCCCTTTCCCCCAGGGACTCAGTCAGCCCTGCAGATGGGGTCTGGGAGAGGGGTGCACAGCCATCTGTTAAAGAGCATTTAACCGGCCTCTTCTGTGCCACGGGACGGGGGCCCACGGCTCCGTCGAATGCGCTCACCGTCACCCATGACTGTACCAGGCTCCCGGCAAATAGTGCCACCCCCAACCCACTGGGATTTTAACTCTGAAAACCAGCTGTGTAGGCAAGGGAACGGTCAGGGATCTGAGTGCAAGGGTGCCCTTCCACAAGCAGACAAGGGACGGCACACAGCAACGAGCTGCAGGAAGAAGCAACTTTTCCCAGCCAGTTCTCTGGAAGGCCACAAGGAAAGGACCCCAGCATGCTGTGCCTCTCGCGTTAGAACCGGTTCTGGAGCAGCCCTGCCCCTACCTCTCTGGGTTTGGGAGCTGATGGGGTGTGTCCCATCCAGAAGTCAGAGGCTCTGCATCAAAGAAAGAAATGAAAGGAGCTTTCTGCAAAGGCCTGGGTTGTTGAATAGAGCAGGAGCTCCGCATTCCAGAACCTAACCTTGGGCCGAGGGAGCCAGGGGTGTTGTCCGCAGAGGTGGGAGGGAGCAGGCCAGGCGAGTGCAGGCCTGGGGGGGGTGGGGGGGGGCACAGACTACTCAGCAGTGCTCTGGCCCCAGATGGCCAAGCAGGGAGAGAGCCAGACTGGGCCCGGCTGCTCAGGCAGCAGCCACTTTAATAACCGATGTGACCCCGAACCCACACCAGGTCATGAGTCTCAAGTCCAATGCATCCACAATCAAGAGCAGCCGGTGGCTGAACATGCTCATCTCTTTATGTGAGCACTAGACCGTTTTTATGTCCAGGCACACGAGGGCCCTCCCCGGACCCCCTTTCCCCCACACTCCTATTCACAGAGCAAGTCGGGACATCGATTGAGGGCTTTTCCCACGATCTCAAGCAACTTCTGCTGTTGTTTAAAACCTGTACATCCCACAGCTGGAGCCGTAGGAGTTTACATTTTAACTCTAAATCTGTCTTCATGACATTTCTTAGGATTAGGATTAAAAAAAAAAAAAAGATTCTCCTGTGCCAAAGAAAATAGCTAAGGACTGGAAGGATCTAGAAGGGAATACAGACTTTAATCCAGCCATACCTGCAAAGCCTGGCCCCCTGCCCTGGAATTCCTCGGGACCCTCCTGGGAGGCTGCAGTGTCTTAACCGTGGTATCGACCGCACCCTGGGCTCTGGAAGCAAGTTGGCTCTTAACAGAGGAGCCACACCCACAGCTCTGGCCCCTTGGAGCCCTCACACCAGGAAGCAGGGCTTCTGCCACGACCGAGCAGGGCTTCTGGGTCTCCGTGGCTACAGAGCGCCTGTCTTACTGCTCTGCTGTGATCCCTGCTCCTCTTTGATGGCAGAGCCGCTTCACTCTCAACAGTCTTCCTAGTCCCGGGCCCCTGCGCTTGCTCCTGTCCTTGCATCCGAATGTTTCACATCTTTGGCTGTTTGCCTCCCGCACGACCGGCCGGTCCCCGGACGCTAGGCCCTGCCAGCATCCCCTGAAGTGTGGAACCCCCCACCCCTGCATCCTGCCTGTTCTCACGCTGTGCTCCAAAATGAGTTGCAAACACTGCTGGCTATGAGGAGGGCTTCCTGACGGCCTGTCCTGGCTTCTCAGGGCTCTGCCTGTCTTCTCGCTCCAGAGAGCTCTCGGGCTGCCCGGTCGGACCGCAGTCATCCGTGGGTGGGGGTGGGGGTGAAGCCATACCTCCTCCCGCGACAGAACCAGCTTCCTGGAGGTGCTCCAAGGCTCTTCTTACCTCCACAGCTGGCTGGCTGTCACACCTCTTGTTGTGCCCTAACTCCAATCCTTCCAAAACTGAGTGAGAAAGGTGTCACACAGGAACACACACTTATTTGCACTGGCCTCTGGGTCAAACACTTCTCATTGTTGCTAGTTGCCTACCCAAAGCCATTTCCCCTTTTTCCTCGGTAAAATAACCTTGATGGCATGCCAAATAGCAGCATGCTTGCTTAACAGACTATGTTTCCAATCCAACCTCCTCTTGCAGCTGTGACCATGAAACTAAATTCTGTCCATTCCAAAAAAGGAATAGTTGTGTAAAATCCCCAGGGAGGCTGCTTAAAGGGAAATGGCTCAGGAGAAAACAGGCCCCTTATGCATTGCCCCTTCCTCTTTCCTGTGGCCTGGAATGCAGATGTGATGGCTGGAGCTCCAGGAGCTATATTGGGCCATGATGCCTTGAAGATGAAAGTCACACAACAGGACGATGCAGCAAAAGATAGAAGAAGCGTGGGTCCCTGAGGTCCATTATAAGGGCCCGGGATTGCCTACCTCTGGCCTCCTTTGGCATGAAAAAAAACTTAAAGTTATTTTATGTATTCTATGTAGCCAAAACTAATCCTCATTGATATACCTGGTTGGCTGCCCTTGACCTTAACTCTCTTCCCTAGAGAATGGTCAAAACCAAGAATGTCTAGGTTCTGTACACATGTATAAAAGCCTAGGACTGAAAGTAAAAAGGTAGAAGGAACAAGCACACAAATAAACACTAAACTTCAGACCAGAGACACCAAAGTTTCTGATGATGATATACATAAGGAATATCAACAATTTTAGAGCAAGAATCTACTTAAGTTTCCCAGTGTGTTCTACAGCCTGAATGTGATTTCTGTTTACTAATTTTGGCTTCTAAAGTGAATTTATTCAGGGGCCCCTGGCTGGCTCAGTCAGTGCAGCAAGCAACTGTTGACCTTGGGGTTGTGAGTTTAAGTCCCATGTTGGATGTAGAGATTAAATCTCGAATCTTGAAAATGGATCAGAGACCTGGGCACCTGGGTGGCTCAGTCAGGTAAGTGTCTCTTGATTTCAGCTCAGGTCACGATTGCACAATTTGAGAGTCGGAGCCCCATGTTGGGCTCCTGTGCTGACAGCATGGAGCCTGCTTTGCATTCTCTGCCCCGCCCCCCTCTCAAAATAAATAAACCTTAAAAAAATAAAATAAAATGGATGAGACCTAAATTGAAGTGTTCAAACCATAAAACTCTTTTTTGGTTCCCAAGTTTGATGCACGAACTCATACAAAATATTCCAGATAAAGGATCCTCCTCCTTCTGGTTAATCTAGAAGTAATGCAATTCGTAACTCTCTTTGCGGTTAACAACTGTGTGCAACCAATCACAGAGATCACTCTTCAGATATTTTGGGGGGGACAGGCTTCAAATACCTTTTGGAAAAGGGCACCTCAGAAATTACAGTAATCTTGGGGCACCTGGGCAGCTCGGTCGGTTGAGCACCCAACTTCGGCTCAGGTCATGATCTCACGGTTCGTGGGTTCGAGCCCCGCATAGGGCTCTGTGCTGACAGCTCAGAGCCTGCAGCCTGTTTTGGATTCTGTGTCTCCCTCTTTCTCTGCCTCTCCCCTGCTCACACTGTCTCTCTCACTCTCTCTCAAAAATAAACATTTTTTAAAAATTTAAAAAAATGCCATCAAGTAAAAGACAACCCAGTGAACAGAAGATTTGTAAATCCTGTACCTAATAAGGTACTTGTATCTAGAATCTATATGAAGAACTCTTACAACTCAATAACAAAGACCAATTAAATGGGTGAAGGAACTGAACAGATATTTCTCCAAAAAAAGCATACAAATGGCAACTAAACATGTGACAAGATGCTCAACATCACCAGCCACCAGGGAAGATACCATTCACACACACACTAACATGGCTAAATTTTAAAACCAAAGTAATACATGGAAAAGAACAAGTATTAGCAAGGATGTGAGAAACTGGAACCATTATACGTTGCTGCCGACAATATAAAATGGTGCAACCAGCCAGGCTGGAAAGCATTTTAGCAGTTTCTTAACAAGGTTAGAGAATTACGATGTGACCCAGGGTATAAAGCCCCTGAGTACATGATGAAATAGCACGTCCACACAAACATCTGCATACCAGCGGTCACTGGAGTATTCCTTATAGCCAAAATGATGCAAACAACCCACACGTCCATCAACCGATAAATGGATAAAATGTAGCACATCCGCTAAGCCGAATACTATTCAGCAAGGAACAGGAATAAAATGCTAACACCACTGCGCCATGGGTAAAGCTTGAAAACGTCTCGCTAAGTTTAAGAAGCCAGACACAAGGGGCACCCTGGGTGGCTCAGTCGGTTGAGCTTCCGACTTCGGCTCACATCATGATCTCATGGGTTGTGGGTTCAAGTCCCATGTCAGGCTTTGCACTGATAACATGGAGTCTGCTTCAGATTCTCTGTATCCCTCTCAAAAATAAACATATATTAAAAAACAGAAAGAAACCAGACACAAAATGTCACATATGGAATGAATGTGCTTACAAGCAATACCCAGAACAGGCAAACCTAGAGACAGGGACCTGGTGGGGGCAGGAAGGGGGGTGGGGATTAATCACTGGTAAAGAGATTGGGGGGAGGTGAGGATTAAAATGTCCTAAAACTAGTTGGTACGATGGTTGCATGATTCTGTGAATATACTAAAAAAACAATGGATTTTGGATTTTATACACTTAAATGGGTGAACTTTATAAAACTGTTTAAAACAAAACGAGACAAAAAAAGAGCATGGGGCACCTGGCTGGCTCAGTCAGAAGAGCATGTGGCTCTTGATCTCAGGGTTGTGAGTTCAAGCCTCACCTTAGGTGCAGAGATTACTTCAATAAAGTTCAAAAAAAACCAAACAAAAGTAGGGGGGGCACATGCTTCCTGGATGAAGCGTCACAAGACCCGAGCACTTGTCCCATGCTGCCATCCAGCTTCCCCTTGTCACTCACGTGCTCTGTTCCCCCAACACACATGCTCACCCCAGCTGCCGTCACAGGGCACAGCGCCCGACAGCCTACTATGTGCCAGGCACTTTCCTCAACCATTCACAGAGCATCGCATGGACTCTCCTGTGACCTGATGCGGTTGCTACTATCCTACATCTGGGAAAACAGAAGTCAGACACGTTAAGAAACTTGCCAACGGCGCCACGGTGAGTGACCCCTACACAGATGGGACCCACCGTGGATGCTCACCGGGTAGCCACCGGGAGCTCCAATGTTCGGCGGCCGTATTTGGCCTAAAGTGTGAACACACACTTCAAAGAATCTTCCCCAATCTCTAGATACAGTCAAAAACTGTTTATATTCATGCCAATTCTGTTAGTATGTGTCCAGTTGCAAATATTTAATTTATAGATTACCTGCTGTCATGGTTTAAAATCCTCATTTGGAATCTGCCTTCAGCTTTTTATAAAAACAGCTGCCGGAGGGGCGCCTGGGGGGCTCAGTCGGTTAAGCTTGATTTCGGCTCCGATTGTGATCTCACGGCTCAGGAGCTCAAGCCCTGTGTGGGGCTCTGCACCGACAGCACAGGGCCTGCTCGGGATGCTCTCTCCCCCTCTCTCTGTGTCCCTCCCCTGCTCGCTCTTGCGCTCTCTAAATAAACTTAAGAAATAGCTGCCAGACACAATCCTCAAGGGGCCGGCTGACATTCTGACTGTGTCCGCCATACCGAAAACTACTTTGCAGCCCTCAAAGGTACCCCCGACCCCTCTTCATACAACAGAAATTGGGCAGAAAGCTCTAGTTTCTTGTGCATACCTCTGTCCTGCTGATCTCCGGATCACCAGATAGGCGTCGACCGCGTAGCAAAACAGCCACCAGAAGCAGGCACCATACAACAGCTGGATCCACATCTGTAATCAGGAAGAGCCTGGCATCAAAGCTCCTGGAAACAGGCCCCGGATTGTCCCCATCCGTGAAAGGAGCGGGCAGATGCCGGTTTCCTCTGACGTCAGGAAGCAGCACATGAAAGCCCTCCGGAGACACGTGGACAGTCTGGGAAACCAAGGCTGGGGCGTGGCCCAGGGCGGCGTGTGCCTCCGTGCTCTGTCCGCCCAGCGGCGCCGGACTAGCAAGCCCGCTGGCCGGGTACACTTGTCAGCACGGGACGTAAAGGCCTCAGATGCACAGCCTTCCCCGGCGTGAGGGCTGACAGTGCCTCTGAACGAGAACGAAGGAGTGTGGGCAGGAAAGGTCTTCTGAGCAGAGGGGAAGGAAGGGGCCGGTCTGCTAGAGGCAGCGGGACATTGACCAGCCTCTGGCGCGGGCAGAGACCGCGCTCCCCTCTGCGGCCGGGAACCAGCGACGGGCACAAGGAGAGAGGCTGACGATTCTGCTACAGCTCGGTGCACAGAGCAACAGAGATACACAGATTCAAATAATATATTCCGGGGCGCCCGGTGGCTCGGCGGGTTAAGCGGCCGACTCTTGATTCCTCACGGTTCCGGAGTTCAAGTCCCGCGTCGGGCTCTGCGCTGACAGTGTGGAGCCTGCTTGGGTTCTCTGTCTGCCTCTCTCTGCTCCTCCCCCGCTCTCTCAATAAATAAACTTAAAAAGTGAAGGCACAAATATGTATTTCATTAAGCACAATATATATCCCATAAATCAACAACCTTCATTGTCCTTTCTTTTCCCTTTTTGGCCAGCTGGTTTTAACTGCAGCTCCACCCTAGGTAAGGACTGTATATGTGGGCTCACATATGGTGGGGGGCAGGGGGGAGCCATACTAGCGCAGTGGTCCTCAAATTTAAGTGTCAGTCAGAAGTCCCTGCAGGGGGTGTAACATCACAACAGACCCCACACCAAGGTTCTGAGAATTTGCATTTCTTTTTTTTTTTTTTAATGTTTATTTATTTGAGAGAGAGACAAAGCACGAGCAGGAGAGGGCCAGAGAGAGGAAGACATAATCCAAAGCAGGCTCCAGGCTCCGAGCTGTCAGCACAGAGCCCTATGCAGGGCTCGAACCCACGAACCGCGAGATCATGCCCTGAGCCCAAGTTGGATGCTTAAATGACCCAGGCGCCCTTGAGAACTTGCATTTCGAACAAACTCCAGTGGGCTGAGACCACACTTGGAGGAACAGAGTGTCACAGGAGCACAGTGGGAAGAAAGGGTTATCAACACAAGCAGGTGGACTTACCGCGGTCCCCACGCAGTACGCAGCAGGCCAAAGGTCCGTCCCATTCACGTCTGAGATGCCCTTGACGAAATCGGGGAATCCCAACCACACCGCAGACCGGAAGACGATCCCTAAAACCGAGTAAGAGGACACAGTCATCCCACGGGAGATGCATTCCAGGCCCCGCAATTGATGCCGAAACTGCACATTGTACCGAATCCTAGATGGGCCACGTTTTGTCCTTTACGTACATTCCAACGATACGGCCTGCTTTATAAATTAGGCACAGTTAGAGACTAACAACTAGTAAACAACGATAATACGCTGTAATGGAAGTCATGTGAACGTGGTCTCTAAACACCTTACTGTACTCACTCTTCTTCTCGTGAGGACGTGAGATGTAGCGAGGTGAAGCATGCAGGCACCGTGATGTGGTGTTGGGCTATACGGACCTTCCGACAGGGCAGATGACCAACCGCTTCCGGACCAGAATGGACCGCGGGGAACCAGAACCGCGGAAAGGAAAACCGTGGCTAAGGGTGAGCTACTGTCCTTTGTAATGGTCCTAATTCGTATCTAAAGCCAACTTGCTGCTCTGTTAAGAGTAAGTAGATGGTGGATGGAAAAAGAGAGAGAGAGAGAGAAACGAGGGAGGAAAGAAACACACACATCGGTGTGTGTACAGAGACAGAGAATAAGATCTAGGAATAATTATTTCGGTCACAGAGCAATCCCAGGAATTTTGATTTCAACTTGAACCACCATTAGCCACAATCATATGCCTAATGTAGTTGTTTGCTTACTTGGTATGAAGAAGCAATTATGTGAACAACAACCGGTATTTCTTGGCTATATTTTTAATACCCACGTATTAACCATTCTTGACATTTAAAGAAATGACCGAAACAGCATGATTCTGAAATGTAAAAAGATAATTCTTTCATTCTTTAAAAAATGTATTTAGGGCCTGGGTGGCTCAGTCAGTCAAGCCTCTGACTTCAGTTCAGGTCATGATCTTGAGGTTTGTGAGTTTGAGCCCCGCGTCGGGCTCTCTGCTGTCAGTGCCCAGCCTGCTTCAGACCCTCTGTCTCCCTCTCTCTCTGCTCCTCCTCCACGAGCACTTCTCTCAAAAATAAACATTTAAAAAATAAAAATAAAAAACAGGGGCGCCTGGGTGATGCAGCTGGTTGAGCATCTGACTCTTGGTATTGGCCCGGGTCGTGATCTCATGGTTTGGGGGGTTGGAGCCCTGCATTGGGCTCTGTGCTGTTGCACGGAGCCCGCTTGGGATTCTGTCTCTCCATCAAAAGAAATAAACATTTAAAAAATTATATAAGTAAATAATGCAATTAAGATTCTCACAAATTAGCTCTCCTCAATAATTTGCTCTTGACGTTTATGATTTGTAAGTTTTCCTTGCTATTAAACCCAAATACCTAATTCTCCTCAAAATAGTATACACGCTTTAAGGTATATATTCAGGTTTTTTGTTAAGAAATGTGATATGCTCTAATAACATACTCCGTAGGGGTGCCTGGGTGGCTTAGCTGGTTAAGGGTCCGACTCTTGATTTCGGCTCAGGTCATGATCTCACAGGTCATGGGTTTGATCCCTGCGTCAGGCTCTGCACTCCCAATGCAGACCCTGTTTGGGATTCTTTCCCTCTCCCTCTCTCTCTCTGCCCTCCCCTGCTCCGTCTCTCTCTCAAAATAAATAAACTTAAAAAATAATAATATACTATGGAACACAATGCTAAAAAGTAATTGTAAACAGTACGAAGTTTTGTGCTATGTGCTCATGTACACTAATATAGTATGTAATAGACGACTAAGTATACAATACATAACATACTAAATCTATTCTATGTAATACACTGCCAGACTTACGTTGCATACTATACTACCAACTATATGCTGCATAATACGTCACCAAATACAATCTGTGTATTTAAATTGTATACAATCTAAATATAGTGTGATACACTACCAAACGTACATTATATACGATATGAAATTTGTGTTACATAACACACTACTATACGAACACCATGTAATACATCACTAAAGAGGAACTATGCACACTGAGACGTTTAAGATACACGTTCTCGTTATCAAGCACTGCTCACAAAAATAATGCTTTTCTTCCATAGAATGCTTACCATTTACGGCACATAGCATTCCTTCGAGCTCAATAAATGCCCAATGTATTTTTGTAGCGATACGAGCTGATGAATGTCAACTTATTTTGATAAACATTTCACAATATGAGTATGTCAAGTCATTCTGCTATCTTAAACTCTTACAGTGCTCTATGTCAACTGTATCTCAATAAAACCGGAAAAAAAAAAAAAAACTCTGCCCTATGAGATAGGCATCATAAGTATTTTTCAGTGATGTGTCAGTCACCAAGCCTTGCCCTGAATTCTGCTTCTGCTCATTTGTCAATATCACGCAACTCCCTTCCAAAAACAAGCATATATGCAAATATTATTTCACTGATCCTCAAAAGATATCTGGGTGCATCTTTATTTTTAGATATCCAAGTTATAGAAACTAAATTGCTGTTAAGATGCTTTTCCAGAGGCACCAGGCTGGCTCAGTCAGAAGACTGTTTGACTCTATCTCAGGGTCATGGGTACAAGTCCATATGGGGTATAGAAATTACTTAATTTTTTTAGTATTTATTTATTTATTGAGAGAGAGAGAGAGAGAGAGAGAGAGAGGGAGAATATGCAAGTGTGCACTCAAGCATGGTTTTGAGGGGCAGAGGAAAGAAGGGAGAGAATCCCAAGCAGGATCCACGTTGTCAGTGCAGACCCCAATGAGGGGCTCGGCTTGAATTCACAAACTGTGAGATCATAACCTGAGCTGAAATCAAGAGTCAGGCATTTAATCGACTGAGCCATGCAGGTGCCCCAGTAAATAAACTTAAAAAAAAAAAAAAA